ACACGCTTTTAAGCGACCGGGCGCCACGCTATAACAACAACAGCAGTTAACAACAATATTGACAATAAATTTGTATCTAAATGTGCACCAATAACGCAATCATCAACTGTGGTACACCATGTGTGTTTGTAAGAGCCTGTGTGCGTGCGTGTGTGTACGCCTGTGATTTATTTACAATTCCGCTGCGTGAAAAAGCGCTAAACAATAAGAAATAAATTAAAGCGCTGCAATATATTTTATGAATATTTATTAGCGAAGTGCAAGAACTCGAAAAATTATGAAATTGTTTGTGTGACAGCATATTCAAATTATTATTATAAATTAAATTTATTTAGCGAATAAACTTATTTTTGCTCTCTAGTCGATTTACCCGTCGGTAGAGTAGTATTGAAAATAGTGTGCTTCTTTGCAGGCAGTGAATTCTGCAGCAAAATGTGGCAGCTATTTTTTCTAGTTTCGCAATCAGCTAAGCTATATACATACATTTCTTTAAAGTGTTTTTTCTTAAAATTTTGTCTGACTCATTATTTTTTCATGTACGTTTTTGAGCATAATTTAAACTTGTTTATCGACAAGTTTTTGCTACGGGAATATAAAAATGTAATATCTTTATAACATTGAAAGTGAAATCATGTTCTGACGTCCTAAATATGTATATTTCAATTTAAATATTTAATATAATTTTATGTCCGATCGCTTACAAGGTTTTAGTTGAACTATTTTAACCGACTAAGTCGACTTGTAAACTTTTTGTCTGTCAGAATTGTAAAATACTTCTTTGCAAAAAGGCTAAAGGTTGTGTTGGAACTTAGCCTGTATTATTTTTATCCTAAAAATAATATAATCAAAAATAAGGGTTTTGAATTTTAAACAATATTTCGTACATTTTTATGGATAATAATATAAGATAAGCAACGTATACAATTATAAAGAAAAATATTTTTTTTAGAATTATTAATGTTGCTTACTAACTTATGATACAAATTGAAAATTAATACAAAAAAAGATCATAATTACCTTATAAAATTTTGCCTTATGGGATGGAAATAACGTGTGAGGTGCTTTAAAGTTGGACTTAAACCAATATAATCAAAATTTTAAATTAACTTTTTAAAAAAATTAAGTTTGGAAGGTGTTTTATAATTAAACCAAAATTAATAATATCATAATTGTTGTAATTATACATAAACTATTTTTTTTAGTTTTATTTAAAAATTTAATTTTTCAAAAAACAAAAAATTTGGAAAAATATTGAGGTATACATTTTTTTGCTTTGATTTCTTTAAATTTTTTTAAACACTCTCCGGTTATTGTAGAAAAATATATTTTTTTTTGGAAATTTAGTGGGTGGAAAACTGAAAAAAAATTTCGAAACCGATGATATTTAGTTTCTATCTATATATTATCTCAAAAAGTCAAAATATGAAATCTCAAAACACAGCCGCCGTTAAAGAAATGAGAAACAGTCTGTAGGAATAAAAAATCGTAAGAAAAAGTTTACATTTAGCATAAAAATTAAAAAACGCATAAATCGAAAAGGGTAAAATATTTTTTTTCCATATAGGTATATTATTGCTTTATTGAATTTTACTTGTCACTGAAATATTGTATTAGCGTCAAAACATACAGACTGATGCAGTTATGTTTTCTATTTATTAACCCATATTACCTCAAAGTAATAATCTTAAAAATATATTAACTCAAAACTTTAAAATGTTTTGAAAAAAAAATTCTGAAAAGTTTCAAAATCTTTTACATTTTTGCTTTTCATTGCATTACTTTGCAATGTTTTTTTTTTAAGTTAATTAATTTTTAAACAATACTCAAAAATTCCAGTAAATTCCAACAATTTATAATGACTTACTAATTAAATGCGAAGCAACAACAACAACTAGAAAATCGACAGCAAGTAAAAAAGACTGTAAAAAATATATAAAATCAATGAATATCAACCAATAAATCGTAGCCAATAAATAAAAGTTCAACACAGCAAAATAAATACATACATGTACAAAGTGATATGACAACAACAACAAATGAGATATATCTGTATGCCCAAAAAGTATTGAAAAATCACTTGCTAAGCGAATGTAGCTAAAAGCAGATTGCAACTGTAGATATAGCAAAAAAAAGGCGTCGTAACAAAAACAACAACAACCGCTAACAATACTAAAGCAACTGCTGAAAAAAGGCAGCCTTAGAAGCTGCAAAGTGTATTGGGTCGCGAGCTTATCTCTCAATAAGCAACATAAAGAGTAAAAAAACAAAGAAAACACACATAAATTGCCTCAAAGACACAGCCAACAATAAAACAGTGAATTTGAAGTGTGCGTGGAAGCAGAGCTTGCGGGAAGGTGCGACTTTGCAATTGCACCTTTTTCCGCCGTTGAAGCATCAACAGCAGAAGTGGTAGCAAACGCCGCCGCGCCTTTTTAAGAGGCGCTTGGGATCAGCAGCTACGCAGCGAGAACGCAGTCAAAACGGCGACCATAACGAATTCCTCGGCGTTAGCGATGAGCCAACTGGGCACCGTCTACGCGACAAAGCGTAGGCGACGCAATGGCAAAAGGTGAGTGGAGAAGCAAATCAGCTTACCATACATACTTATGTTTGGGTATATGAAATTTAGGAAGAAGAAAAAATAATTTAGATTTTCGTAAGACCTTTAGTTAGCTATAGTTATTAGAAAATAATAGCAAAACTTTAATATTTGCAACAATTTTAAAATACGTAAAATATACACAATAATTTTTTCAAGTGTAACTGACATTTTTTTTGCATATTTTTCATTGTATTTATAATTTTTTTTTGTTTTTTTTTTTAGCGTTTTCGCACTTGGAAGTAAAAAAATTAAAAAAAAATTAATTTTAAGTTCAAATTTTTTTACAAAAGTTCCAATATGTTCTCCGTTTTCTTCCAAATCAAACAAATATAAGTATTTTGAAAATAAATATCTGCTTAATTGCAGATTAATGTTAAATGTTTTTAATGCTTTTTAATTTTTATAAAAAAAATTAATCTAATTTTGTTTTTAATCGAAATAGTTAAAATAATTTTTATATTCTTCCGTTCCCATGAAAATAATGTATTTAATTTGATATATTTTCTGTCTTTGAGTATTGCTTTCCATTGAGCATATATGCATGTAGGTATGTATGTTTTTATTCAATTTTCATCCTTTGAAAATCTGCGCTAAAAATTATATAATATTAAGTTTGCCATGAAGTTTGTAACAAACAGTAGGGAACGTCGGATACCCTATAAAGTCTATACGAGTATATAAATGATCAGTGGGACGAGCTGAGCCGATTTAGCCATGTCGTCTGTCTGTATATACGCGAATTAGTGCCTCAGTTTTTCATATATCGTTCTGGTTTTTCCGTAGGAAGCTGCTAATTTGTCGGAACCAGCAGTATCGGACCACTATAGGTTATAGCTGCCATACAAACTCACCTATTAAAGTCAAGGAAAACTTTTTTATTTGACGAGATTATTGTCGAAGACAACGATGCAATCTCCGTACAAATTATTCAGATCGCACCATTATAGCATACAGCTGCCATACAAACTCACAGATCAACATCAAGATACATATTGCATAAAATATATTCTTTTCTTATTAAGTAACCTTGATTCGACTTGTAGGTTGTTTATATCAAACCAAGTGGCTAAAAAGCACTTTTTTCATATTTTATTTCGAAATTTGATGATTTAATGATTTGGAAAATTATTTTATTAAATTATAAATTGCGTTAGTTTCGCATTTTATCTTCATTTAAATACCATTTCTTTTCAAAAAATAATTTAATAAGATTTTTTGAAGCTTCTCCTTGTACAAGTTGCAATATCATAAACTTGAACAACAGATCACATGCATTCAATCAAGATAACTTCTGCATTACGAGTACAAGCACTTGCTTGATTTCACGCGCTTGATTGCTGGGAAGTGCGTGTGCGATGCTGCCGCTGTAGATAGACTCCGCCTTTATCTTATATTGATTTCAATCCGCGAGCAATTTTCATTTGACGGCCTTCTCGTTGCTTCTGGATGCTTCCGGCGCTAAGTGGCATGCCACCCGCTGCTTGCAACACCAACTATCAATCTACAACGCCTTCGTAATTGCAACTGATTGCAAAAAACAATCAAGACTTTGCATGAAAGAGTTGTTGCTTGAAGCGAGGCACAGCAAACGCTCAGCAGCGCGTACAGCAGCCGCTGTTGCCAACAAATTCTCACGTGGCGTGGCGTGGCTTTGACTGATTGCTGTATTTATTGGCAAATGTTTTGTTCGCTGTTTTTGCTGTTGTTGTTGCATAGATTGTATGGTGTTTTTATTGTTGGCGCTCTGTCATTATTGGCGCGTAATGAGCGTTTAATAAATGGTAGCCATTTTCACGCTACCCACACACGCGCTGCGCAGGAGCAGTTTTTTGTAAAAGTCCGCGATGTGCGTGTGTGTGTGCGTGTGATTAAGTCAACCTTTCCACTTGCTGGCAACGCATTAACACCCGCTTAATTGTATGCAATAAAAAAACTAGAAAATTAACGTTAAATTCGGCTGGACCGAAGCTATAATACCCTTTACAGCTGCATTTCTTATAGCATAAAAGGGTATAAAAAGATATTTATCTATTAAATTTATTTATATATATATTTTGATCATCCGGTTTGTATGTAGCTGCCATAGTGATGCTATAGTGATCCCATCCGAACTATTTTTTTGGACATTGTACCGTTGTATAAGATGACAATGTTTATCAATTTTCGTGAAGATACCTTGTCATATAGGAAAGTTTTTCATATAAGCACTTGATTCCGATCGTTCAGTTTGTTTGGCAGCTATATGCTACAGTGGTCCGATATCGACGGTTCTTACAAATAAGCAGTTTCTTGAGGAGAAACTAAAATGTGCAAAGTTTTAGAACGCCATCTCAAAAACAGTTTGTCACGCTGATCATTTATATAAATATACATATGTATGTATGTATGTTTTTTATAAGGTTTCCGACGTTTCCTTGTGGGTGTTACAAAATTCAAGGCAAACTTAATATACCTTGTTCGGGGTATAAAAATAAGTGGAAATGAATTTGGGGGCTTGCTGTTAATGCAAAAACAAGAACCAAAGCAACAATAACAGCGCATATTGTAAAGAATACAATATGTAAGCCTGTAGGCAAGCGCCTTTTATAAAAAATTGAAACTTTTTTATACTCTCGCAACCTGTTGCTACAGAGTATAATAGTTTTGTTCACCTAACGGTTGTTTGTATCACCTAAAACTAATCGAGTTAGATATAGGGTTATATATATATAAATGATCAGGATGAAGAGACGAGTTGAAATCCGGGTGACTGTCTGTCCGTCCGTCCGTCTGTCCGTCCGTCCGTCTGTCCGTGCAAGCTCTAACTTGAGTAAAAATTGAGATATCTTTATGAAACTTGGTAGACATGTTTCTTGGTACCGTGAGACGGTTGGTATTGCAGATGGGCGTAATCGGACCACTGCCACGCCCACAAAACGCCATTAATCAAAAACAAATAACTTGCCATAACTAAGCTCCGCAATAAGATACAAGACTGTTATTTGGTACACAAGATCACATTAGGGAGGGGCATCTGCAGTTAGAACTTTTTTTTAAAAAGTGGGCGTGGTCCCGCCTCTAATAGGTTTAATGTGCATATCTCCTAAACCGCTAATGCTATAACAACAAAATTCACTAGAAGCAAATGTTTTTAGCACTTCTATTGACGGTGTAAAAATAGTTTAAATCGGGTGGCAACTCCGCCCACTCCCCATATAACGGTACTGTTAAAAACTACTAAAAGCGCGATAAATCAAGCACTAAACACGCCAGAGACATTAAATTTTATCTCTGAGATGGTATAAATTGGCTTTATAGGAACCGCGTTCCAAATTAGACAGTGGGCGTGGCACAGCCCACTTTTAGGTGAAAACCCATATCTTGAGATCTGCTCAACCGATTTCAACCAAATTCGGTGCATAACGTTCTTTTCATGTTTCTATGTCATAATGCGAAAATGGGCGAAATCGGACTACAACCACGCTTACTTCCCATGTAACACCATTTTCAATTCCATCTGATTCTTTCACTTTCCACTATGCAAATCAGGTAACAAAGATTATATCGGGGTAAAACTTTGCGTAAATAATGCAATTAAAGTATGCCACCTTGCGGCCAAAAATTGTCTAAATCGAACCAAAACTGTTCAAACCCCTAAGTACTAAATATGTGGACCCCAGTGCCTATAGTTGACCTTCTACCGAAAATATCAGTCAATCCACAAAGAAATCTCAAACGAGTATACCATTTGCCTTTGCGAGAGTATAAAATGTTCGGTTACATCCGAACTTAGCTCTTCCTTACTTGTTATTTATAGTGTTGTTATTTTATATTGTTGTTTTTGCTATCGTCCATATGTTTAATGATGTGTGATTGTTTTTGTGACAGTATTCATTTGTTTGATTTGCTAACAGCCTGGCTGATGGCTCGCTCGCCAAATTGCCTGACAAATAGCCGCTACTGAGCGCTGCATTGTTCTCCCACTTGTAGTGGTTCCTGTTGTTGTGCCATATCTCATCTGCTCTGCCCAATGGGAGATTTTGTTTGCTGTCAGTTGACGCCACTTGAGATTTGTTTTGACTTTGCTGTTTGCAAGCTCATAAGTGCTGATTATTTAATATACACGGACAAAACCTTTATTTTTTGGTACATTTGAGTAGTTATGAATTGAGTTACGAACTGAAATTGATTATTTTTCATGTTTTGTGTTGACTTCAGCTTAGCTGGTGGCAAATGTTATTCATTTGTCTCCTTAATGGCTTCTTTAGTAGTCTGATCGCTCCCAGTGTGACCCGCTCACTAACTTCCTTTGTTAACATTTGCAGTATGCTAGAAATAACTTTATTTATCGAATTTCTGGGATATTTTTTTTCTTTTGATACTTGCTTTTGCTATTATTTGCCTAATCCCCTATAGCACCCAATGAATTTTTCGTATCCGAATATCAATAATTTTAGCTTAAATTTTGGAGTTTTGAATAGTTGTAAATGTATGTCAGGTTGCATAAAGATCTTCGGGCTACTTTAAGTCTCTTGATTACTTTCGAATAGAGATTAAAAGTTGTGCGCGAACAGTAGATCTAAAACTCTACGCTTTCGGTATTCGTTGAAGTTTAAGTTTGCTGACTCTTGGAACTTCAGAAAAGAATTTTGAATCCATTTAATCCATAGATATTATTTTCTATGCCGAATGTTGCCTACAAATTTATCATAACCTATGAATTGAATTGCTTAGTGAGAAAACTATTATTTTTTACTTTCGATATTCATAGTATAATATAACAATTGTAGAAGGAGGTTTCACTTGAAAATATGACTTCTGATAGAACTTTGAAGATTCCCCCTTCTAAAAATTAAACTAAGAGTTTTTCTTATATTTATATGCTGAACAGGGTGTATTAAGGTTACCACGATGTTTGTTACACCCAAAGAGAAACGTCGGAGAGCCTATAAAATATATATGTACATCTGTATAAATGACCAGCGTGA